ATTGCTAAAAACGACAATCAACCTAAATTCGCTCAATTGCCTTCAACCCATGAAGATCCGGGTTAGAAATATGAATACACAATGCCTTTTAGAAAGTGGTCAAATGTGACAAATGCTATATAAACGCCAGCACTCAAAGTCAGCGATCTAACCCACCCAGCCACTGAGGCTTACACAAAATAAAAGCCCGACATCTGGTAGTCTAATTCTCGTACGGGGGCACGGGTGGCCCAGTCGTACAAGGCGCCGCGATTCGCTGTGCAGACTTGTGTCCCTTGGGTACGCCAGAAACCTATGATTGTGGGTTCGAATCCCGGTTCGCCCCAATTATGTTTCTAGGTTTGTCAGTACCATACACGTGCTCGTTGGTTTCACCGAAGTGGTAAACGTCTGAGACCTGCATCACTTCGGGCTTTCCTCCCACATTAAGCGGCGTTAAACCCAACTCACCCACTCACTCATTTCATACTCATATCAATTTATTTATAAGTAACATATGATAAATACTAATGGTTATAATATAAGAATCCATAATTTGTAAAAGGTCGTATTTAAGTCGTTTATAGGTGAAAAATAAAGCAAAATATCACATGCTTATTCTATTTATAAAAAAAATGAGGTAAAATGGGAAGATAATTCACTTATAAAGCGAGTCTAGTTTAATAATGTTTCTAGTCCGGACACTACATACACAACTCCGAGCAAACTAGTCATTGTTTTATCCTCTTAATAAAGTGCAGGTTAACAGTAAATACCATCTTTAAACGTCCTGGTCCCTTCTCCGAGTAAACTCGCTATCCAAGGATAAGTTTTTCCTTGGTGCATTGGGCTTATTTCGATGGAGAGTCTGTTTGGATTTGTAAAAGGGACATTTTCCTATACAGTCTTTACCTAAACGTTGTACTCAGTGTCACGTGATAGACGGACACAGGATCTGTGTGTAACATTTGATGATAATATCAAGACGCGATTAACGTGTGTGCCATGTGGATGTGAACTCGTGTTTATAGGATTACCATGGGAACACATGTGACTGAACTCCTAGGTAGGATTACCATGGGAACACATGTGTCTGAACGCCTGTGTATAGGATTATCATAGGAACACATGTAACTGAACCCCTGTATGTAGGATTACCATGGGAACGCATGTGACTGAACCCCTGTATGTAGGATTACCATGGGAACACATGTGACTGAACCCCTGTATGTAGGGTTACCATGGGAACACATGTGACTGAACCCCTGTATGTAGGATTACCATGGGAACACATGTGACTGAACCCCTGTATGTAGGATTACCATGGGAACACATGTGACTGAACTCTTGTATGTAGGGTTACCATGGGAACACATGTGACGGAACTCCTGTATTTAGGATTACCATGGGCAAACATGTGACTGAACTCCTGTAAGTCTGTATGTAGGATTACCATGGGAACACGTGTGAATGAACTTCTGTATGTCTGTATGTAGGATTACCATGGGAACACATGTGACTGAGCTCCTTGTATGTCTGTATGTAGGATTACCATGGGAACACGTGTGAATGAACTTCTGTGTGTCTGTATGTAGGATTACCATTGGAACACATATGACTGAACTCCTGTATGAAGGATTACCATGGGAACACATGTGACTGAGCTCCTGTATGTATGTATGTAGGATTACCATGGGAAAACATATGACTGAACTCCTGCATGAAGGATTACTGAACTTCTGTATGTAGGGTTACCATGGGAACACATGTGACTGAACCCCTGTATGTAGGATTATCCTGAGAACACATGTGACTAAATTTCTGTAGGTAGGGTTACCATGGGAACACATGTGACTGAACTCCTGTATGTAGGATTATCCTGAGAACACATGTGACTGAACCCCTGTATGTAGGATTACCATGAACACACATGTGACTGAACTCCGGTAGGTAGGATTACCATGGGAACACATGTGACTGAACCCCTGTATGTAAGATTACCATGGGAACACTTGTAACTGAACCCCTGTATGTAGGATTACCATGGGAACACATGTGACTGAACCCCTGTAGGTAGGATTACCATGGGAACACATGTGACTGAACTACTGTATGTAGGATTACCATTGGAACACATGGTACTGAACTCCTGTATGTAGGTTTATCATGGGAACACATGTGACTGAACTCCTGTATGTAGGTTTATCATGGGAACATATGTGACTGAACTCCTAGAGGTAGGATTATCATGGGAACACATGTGACTAAACTCCTGTATGTAGGGGTATTATGAGATTTGATTTGAACTTCCTTACTCAAATACGAATTTCCGTATGGCACTGTTTGTAAAGAGTAACCATGTTGGCGACTGTGAATAATTTGACATACCTGTTTCTGTAATTAAAATCCCAATCTCCCCTCCCGTGTAGCACGTTCTTATATTGTGTAACGATCTCTGCCCCTTCTAGGTTTTCTGGTGGCGTATTATTCCAAAGTTGTGCTGTAGCTGGTATAAATGAATCTGCACAAGCTTTTGTTTACACTTCACTGTTTTATCCCTTTAGTTATACTTAGTGCTTTTCGAAACTGTAAGGAATAAGCCTATTAAGATATTCGGCTGAGAGATGATAATTTACTTTGTAAAACATTACCAATTTTTAATTGTATCTTCTGTCTTTTAATTACTTATAATTTGTTTCATTGGAACTTTTCTGTACTCGTACCCCGGACAGAGCCACTTATGGTTCTAAACACGTTTCTTACAGTGTACGCACTCATTCATTGAATACACAGTGCTTATCGTAAGAGGCGACGAACGGGATCGGATGGTGGGGATCGCTGACCTGGTTGATGCATGTCAGTGTATCCCAGTTGGGTGGATCGATGCCCATGATGTCAATGACTGGATTGTCTGGTCCAGACTCGATTATTTACAGACCGCCGCCATATAGCTGGAATATTGCTGAGTGCGGCGTTAAACAACAAACAAACAAAACAAACAAACACAAACAGAAAGACGAAGGCATGCGCAAAGGGCATTATAGTATTATCACAGTTAACGAATCAGTGTGCATTTATGCACACATTCCTGGTGTCATCTACCATTAAAAAAAACAGTCAACATTTGTTTTGTGTCATTCCACATTTTGTATTTGACTCCGAAACATGATCATTAAAATGAAAGACAACATCGACACATGAACATGCGCGCTGGGTTATTTGAGGAAGTTCAACAGAGAAGCTGTTATCGTTTCAGACCTACGTTGCGATAAATGTCTGAATAGGTTTAATCTTACATATTGCATTATAAGTATGACAAGAACTCGTTGGGGAACATCGTTAAAGTATTCTCCCAAGTAAGCTGATGACCACGAGAAAGGAGGTTGGCACCAACAGAATCAAACTTGAAACGGGCGTTGCTGGCGATCCTGAAATCAATCAAAACTATGTTAATCCAAGACAACTCACCAGTTTGTGCAATGAAAACACGACAAAGGGTAAAAACAATAGGGGGCTGCTCAGTCGTACACGGAATGTCCTGCTGACGGGGGTTAGGTCTAGGGCTGTGCCGGCCTTCGAGGATAGGGATACCCTGCGGGTAGAGAGGTGTAGAGGGAGCGGATTGTTATGAGATTAAATTTCTACTGTGAATATATGTCAATATATGTCCATGAACATGGACCTGGAACCATGTAAGTCGTGGGCCTCAACGACAACGATCTCTATGGTTGCATTCATTCAATTTCCTAGGAATTAGCGGAAAATAGACGCAGATATGAACACGAAATTGGTTATAGATTGGTTTATTGAATGCGGTCATTGTTGAGTGAGAGTGGGTGACTGGGTAGAGCTTTACTCCATTAGAAATAGTCGGGCAATAAAAGATTTGATTCACACTTTGTACCATTTCGAACTCGGGTCTTCTATATGACGAGCAAAAGTTTCACTCCCAGGCTAACCCACCGCCCTTGACGGCATATTGACACTGTTGTTTCTCAACAATGTTACAGTATATACAGAAGGCTCTGCGTCTTGCCTACAACTGAATAAAGCGATTAACAGAAACAGATCATCACATTTCATTTTGTAAACTGATGTGCAACATACATTGAAATTAAGATGAGCAAAAAATTACAAGCTAGGCTGAAAACAGTCACCGAAACAGTAAAATCTTAAGGTCGACACAACCCGGGCTCGTCATTTCGCATTTCATACACGTATCAAATACATCATCATAGAATAACCCTTTCTTGTTTGCTTCATTTACGAAGCTCGTTTCGATGTATGATTCGTTTATTTGCCTGGTTGTTGGGAATACATTTGAATGTCATCATATCGCGGCGGTGTGGGTCCTTTCTCTCGATGTCAACCATTTGTTTAATGACCCAGAATCGATTATGTTATGGCCACCGTGTTATGTCGGGAATATTGATACAGTAAACTACGTTTATAACGAACACGCTTATAACGAACTGACGGATATAACGAACTTATTTTTTAGTCCCGACCATTTGTTGTAGATATGCTGTATGTATGCTTATAACGAATTATGGTTATTACGAACTAAAATTAGTGGTCCCCTTGTGTTCGTTATAACCGTAGTTTACTGTAGTTGAAACGGTTTTATTGCTTCGTTTAATCTCAAGTAGATTGTGGTATGTCCAAGATATACAAAAAGTACGGTCAACACAGCTAATAAGATTTCTATTACTATTATCATTTCTTCTTGTTCTATAACGTTTTCAGCTGTTTTTTTTATCAATAATGTGCTAATTGCGGCGTGAATGTGTTCATGCCCCATTGTATTTTTCCCACTGCGTCTTTTTTCGTTCCCATGGCGGGGGTAGGGGATGGGAGGTGTGGGGGTGCAAAGGGTGAGATCAACACAATAACAAATATAGGTCTATCGGGTAAAATCGCTAACAACGTGAGTATATTTACATTTGCGCACTTTCAAAGATATGCATGAGCGGAAGATAATGTAGGGACTTTCATATTCATGCCACACACACCAGAGTTTTCCTCATTAAGAGTTGGGCCGAGCTTCACTGAACATCCGCCTTCACAACGCTCAGACATTCTGTGGGGAACCGAGAGATCGTTCAGGTAATGCTAATATATTGACAGTTTGTCTATATATGACATGGGACCGACGAAGTGGCCCACTGGCTGCTGAGTTTGCTTGTCATGCCAGTGACTCGAGTTCGATTTCCAAATTCGGGACTGGCAATTTTATATTCTAGGGGGATTTTGTATAGAGGATAGATATTTATTCAACTACAGCTACAAAGTATGAGCCTGAATTATTTCTTAAAAGTAAGTGAGTGAGTTTAGTTTTACGGCGCTTTTAGCAATATTCCAGCAATATCACGGCGGGGGACACCAGAAATGGGCTTCACATATTGTACCCATGTGGGAAGCGAACTCTTTAACCCTAAGGCTACCCCGCCGCCCCTTTTTTCTTAAGAGAAACGCCTTGCAATGACATTTTTGTGGCAGGCAATTTCCGTTTCAACAGTCAACTTTACAACGCCCAAATAAGTACTGCTCTGGACAAAACGTACTCGGCGTATAGAGAGAAATTGTTGATATTGAAGTCTTTTATCATGAGGAATTAATCGATGTACAGGTTTGGTGAGGAAACTTTTGCAATTCCATGAGCAGGAAAATACTGGACTGTTTTCACAGTTCGTGTCACGGACCTTTATACACCAATGCATAAAGTGCACGGCATCATTTCTAACTGTAACAGTTAGATCGGCAGCGCTGAGTATCGGCATTTTCGAACTTGACAATGTTCAACTTTCTAAAATGTTGACAATTGAATGACAATATTTTGCCTTATGCTTGCCTTTTCTGTAGCCACTACCACGAGTTACGAATGCCATAACTTGCACGTGCATTTTGCTTTACTGTGTTCCTCCATGACATTTTTGAACAAGTGTGAAATCAATGCCGTTTAAGACATTGCAAATCGACAATGACTAAATTTTGACGCACCGTTTGTCGAATATCAGGCCACCAACATTTTCCCATAACATATATCCAATTTATATACCGGATTTCTTGTGAAGTCAGGTTCAATGAACTACATACTACCTGTGCGTTTCTTTTTTGAAGAGTGTACTTTTTTTAGGTCCCGTTCACAACTCTAAAACAAATAGGTATTCTTTCATAAAAAAAAATTACACACAAAGACCAGGTTGTCAGCTGGTGTCTTCTGCTATTTAGGGATTTTTAGAATTTTTATTTTTTCCGTTTTCTTGGCAACAAGTTTGACTTTGACTCAATTCACGGGGATGTGTTTTTCCAGAGCATATCTCCAAAACTTCCGGTTTTCTTCAGTACGTACACACAATGACCAACTTGTAAACTCGTGCTTTTAATGTTATGATTTTGGAATTTTTTGGGGGCGAGGGGCCCACTGGCTGCTGAGTTTCCTTGTCATGCCTGTGACTCGGGTTCGATTTCCAAATTCGGGACTGGCAATTTTATATTCTAGGGGGATTTTGTATAGAGGATAGATATTTATTCAACTACAGCTACAAAGTATGAGCCTGAATTATTTCTTAAAAGTAAGTGAGTGAGTTTAGTTTTACGGCGCTTTTAGCAATATTCCAGCAATCTCCCGGCGGGGTACACCAGAAATGGGCTTCACACATTGTACCCATGTGGGAAGCGAACTATTTAACCATAAGGCTACCCCACCGCAATGCAATTTTTGTGGCAGGCAATTTCCATTTCAACAGTCAGAAGCAAAATAATATTTTTCAAGAATATTCGGGGACACGCAGACACACAAAATAATATCTCTTCCCGAATAATACTATTTGTGTTTGTTTTTATTTCAATGTCTTTACAACGCCCAGATAAGAACTGCTCTGGACAAAACGTATTCGGCGTATAGAGAGAAATCGTTAATAGTGAATTTTATTTTCATGAGGAAATAATCGATGTACAGGTGCGGTGAGGAAACTTTAGCAATTCCTCGAGAATGAGCAGGAAAATACTGGACTGTTTTCACAGTTCGTGTCACGGACCTTTATACACCAATGCATAAAGTGCACGGCATCATTTCTAACTGTAACAGTTAGATCGGCAGCGCTGAGTCTCGGCATTTTCGAACTCGAAAAATGTTGACAATTGAATGACAATATTTTGCCTTATGCTTGCCTTTTCTGTAGCCACTACCACGAGTTACGAATGCCATAACTTGCACGTGCATTTTGCTTTACTGTGTTCCTCCATGACATTTTTGAACAAGTGTGAAACAATGCCGTTTAAGGCATTGCAAATCGACAATGACTAAGTTTTGACGCACCGTTTGTCGAATATCAGGCCACCAACATTTTCCCATAACATATATCCAATTTATATACCGGATTTCTTGTGTAGTCATGTTCAATGAACTACAAACTACCTGTGCGTTTCTTTTTTGAAGAGTGTACTTTTTTTAGGTCCCGTTCACAACTCTAAAACTAATAGGTATTCTTTCATAAAAAAACATTCACACACAAAGACCAGGTTGTCAACTGGTGTCGTCTGCTATTTAGGGATTTTTAGAATTTTTATTTTTTCCGTTTGACTTTGACTCAATTCACGGGGATGTGTTTTTCCAGAGCATATCTCCAAAACTTCCGGTTTTCTTCAGTACATACACACAATGACCAACTTGTAAACTCGTGCTTTTAATGTTATGATTTGCTTTTGGAATTTTTTGGGGGCGGGGGGGGGGATTTATCATCTTCTGATAACTCTTGTTTAAAGGTTATTGTAGGACGTTTCCTTAATTCAGATCACAACCCACTTAAAACACTTGACTCAACCCATGCAGTTTCTTTCAATAACTTCGCTAACATCAACGAGTTCGCGATTTGAATTTGAATTTGGGAGTTATTACCAAAACATACATATTAATGTCAGTGTTGAGTGTAATGTCATATGAACATACTTGAAAATTTTCACAACGATTTCTATATAATTTAATCGTTTCTGAAATTTTACACATACAGTCGCCCAAAGGGTTTCCCAATCATGCCTCGTCATTAAGCCCAGTCAGCAATGATAGAGCTTTCCTGCAAAATGAGAAACCCGAAACTTGTCCTCTCAGAATAAATAATTGAAATCCAGTGTTTGAATGTGTATATTATATTGACAATAATTTACGAGTGACGAGAAATGGCGGACTATCTGTCCCAAGTGAAATTAAAGTTAGTAAGTCCCGGGCCTTGGCGTACATGTACGTGCATCTGTTCTCAAAAGAATACAATGTTCAGACAAAATATATGATTACGGAACACAGACGTAGACATGTAACTTGATAATAAAACATCAACGTTTATTTAAATGATATATTTAATGGAACGAAACAATATTTTAACAAAGTGTTTAAGTTACATTGCTGAACACTTAAACAAATACCATTAAAATCATAAATGTATTACATGCCATGTATAACCATTAAAACATTTATGTACTCTGTTTGTATTCCTCAAAAACAAGCTCCATTCAATATTCAGCAATTTGATAAGAACACAAAGGGATACGAGATAACGTCAATCATTTTCCTAATTCTGACATAATGCAGAGGGCGCGTTTTCCTCACAAGTCCTGTATATGGAGTGGGGCTCATTTTATAAACATGACTCACAACTAGTCTGGGACTACCATCTTCCCGGCTCACACACGGAGGCAAGGGAGTTAACTGACTGTAAAAGTCCAGTTTCCACCCTTGCCTAACTAGGCTGGAATGTCAGGGCTCAATCGAATTATGTCCATTCTATATATGTTTCCCCTATTGACCAATCAGATTCCACCTCTCGTATCACTTGTATTAGCTATAAACAACATGGCGGCACCCAGTCAAGACGATCTGATCGATAATCAAGATTATTATTGTAATAAAACGGGTCTTACCTCGCAAAGTACATCAAATCACTTGAGCACCTTGATTTAAGGCATGAAATGATTTTAATCTGTCGACGCCCAGAATACATGCACTACAAATCCTGCAATTGACCGAAATCTGCACGGCAGTCGCCATTTTGTTTATGAACCGGATGTCGATTTCATTACGCGATTTGATCTATGCATTGACTCGTTAGTCCGGCCAAAATATATCTCCCGCCTAGTTCAGCAAGGACGAAAACTGAACTTTTATAGTCAGTTAACTCCCTTGCCTCGGGAAGATGGGGATTACAGAAATTAACTAAGGTGAAGGCACTTTCAATTCTGGCTTAATGCGTACTATAACGTGAATTATTTATTTACCTATGTGATACTATCTTAACAGGTGTCAGAAAAAGAAAAACTGTTTTTTATATTTTTTATCAAACACATATTTCATAAAACTAGTATTGAACATGATTTGCTGATTTGATTTCACATAAAATCATAAATGTATTACATATTACATACATGTTTCATATTATATTTAATGTTTTAGGCCTAGATACATTTAAATAAATTTATTTAAATCGTTCTGCTTTCTGATCAGCTGAAAAAAAAGAGCCCAAACCAAAATCAAGTATACAAAACGAAAATAGATAAATACTGACAGCGTTTTTTATCCCCGAAAAACAAAATTATGTGTAAAATGAAGTTGGTGGTAAATGACCTATGCTTATGAGGTTGCCATGCTTAATGAGGTGAGGTGATATTGGGTTTAACGTCGCGTCCAAGATTATTGCACTTATATAGCGACGTGCATGCACGTGCATGTGTGTGTGTGGCTGCTTGTACTAGTCCGGACTGATGCCGATTTATAGTGCTAGCTCACTGAGATACCATGCCGCAGTTTAACATGAATACCCCACTCAGACACAGTATACTGACTCCGAGCCGACCAGTCCTTGTTTTACCCCCTTAATGCCGAGCGCCAGACAGGGTAACAACAAGTACAATCTTTTAACGTCTTTTTGGTATGACGCGGCCCGGGATCGAACCCTCGACCTTCCGCTCTCCGGGCGGACGCTCTACCACAAGACCACGGAGGCGGTCCCATGCTTAATGAATCACATCTGGTCTATCATGTATGAAATCCAGTCAGATGGGCAGTTGACTAACCTACCAAACTCTCGATGTGAATCTCAGACTTTGTGTCAAAA